CGAAGGATATAGGCGCTCATAAGAAGCTCATGTGACACCCCCATAGTATTAACAGTGCTGTATTGACGATCGCATGGTTCCCAAAGAGCCCATATGCTCGGCGCCGATATAGGGTGCTGGAATTGGTGGAACCATTTACTTCCTCCCCATCCAAGTGGATACCAGCTAGAGAATCCATGTCGCCTAGTGCTGCTCTCTGAATTACGCCAGTAAAGACAAAAGCGAGGATTCGGCGTCTTCTCTGCAGTAGCATAGTTGCCGAACGGGACACCCCAAATGCTGCCTACTGGATCAGGTTCACTGCGGAAGGATTTCAAGATACCAAGCACTGCGTTCAGAGCGTCGGATTGAAAGCTGAGGCTGCGGTTGGAGTACTGCTCTAGAGCACCCATTGCCTTTCTCAATGCAGAAGCATCCTTTTCGTGGGATATGGGGAAGGTGGATTCAAGATGGGGTAGGTACACCTTGTCGCTGCTTGAGTTGAACTCATGCCTCACAGTTCTGTTGCACACGAACAGGATTTCATGATCTGTGAAATACAGTCTTCTTCGGGAGAGATACCCTTCTTGAAGAGTCCTAGCGTCACGTCAGTCTTCGAAATATACCTTTTGGCATCGTGTAGCACGATACTCACCATGCACGAGTAGACCATGTAGAATATTGAATCAGCGAGGTGACTGAAGGTTTTTCAAACTCGAATCTCATAGTCGCGGAACCGAGGTCAATGTGTACGTAAGGGAAGTTACGTTTCCGCCCTACACCGGGTAATCCGCACGTGCAATCTTCGCCAGCCGCTGCAATGAGAGTAATTTAAGCAGAAGCATATATGAGATCCATTTGTTGGATCTGTATATGTTTATCCCTAGAGTCATGCTGTTGCACACACTAGGATGATGGTCAGTCATGAAGAGTATGAGAAAGGGTATGTAGTACCTACGTATTTGTCCACCCAAATGTACCGGTAGCCAAGAAGCAGGGTTGTAGTGATACTGTCCTCGATGGTAGCAGGTAATCTTGTCTCTAACTTAGAGTTCTCTTGCAAGGGCATGTTGCCGGCTTTGCCCCAGACATAGGACAACGCAACATAGTGGCAATTGCCAGGCGCTAAAACAACGATTCTCTAGAGACAATCGATCACCCTCAGATCTCGCAGTGATTCTTGCTGCTCAAGCCTGCAACAATCGTGGGTGTTTGAGCAGTCAGCTATCCGGTTTTTCACCAACTCTAAATTAGAGAGTGGGGAATGTGTATGAATAGAGGACGGCTTCAAGAGGCGTAAGTCCTTGCCCATACCTTGGTGACTATAGCTGAAGTAAGTGGAGCCCGAGCTTCGACGCCATTCGAAGGAGGGTGACTTCGTCTCCCGTGCCCAGTCTCCTATACACCCAGACACCGCTATTCCAATTGCTCGGCAGATTACACACGCTGAAGCTTTCATTTCTCTGGAACTACTGTCGAGCTTGAAGGTATCCCTTTGTCGATACCGTTGCCGCACCAAAGACTGATCTATTGACGCTTCTGCTGCAAGCCGAGCCGCCTCCTCGTTAGCAAGGCAATTTTTCATCTTCGAACACATGATCAGACATCGATCGCAGAGAGTGTTGTATTTGCTGGGAGTATTTGCTTCATCTTCAGAATCGTGGCGCTCGTCTAGTGTGGAAGATTTGTCCATAGCCGATGAGATGGAGCCTCGGACAGCGGAAGAAAGCGCGTGCAGTTAGACGGTAGTGGATGCGTCGCTCAAACCGCGCAGTTGCGTCGATATGTTTGGAAGGATTCCTAGAGTGGTTTCAGCTTGAGAATAACCACGAAGAAGGCTGTCGAGAGTACGTTGTAGCAGGAAGGCAAGGCTGCCTCCCTGTTACAGCTCATCCTCCCCGATAGGCGCAAGTCCACGTGACTCTTATCTTGCGAATCCAATTGGATAGCTAACTTCTCCCGGCAATAAACACATGCAGATGTGAGACGAATACATTGCGTCAGTCTGCCACAGATACATGAGATTGTGTAACTTCGTCTGTACTTCGATGTAGGCTAATCGACATGTAAGCGCCGGATGTACCAGTGGACCAAGGCTGGACCCCAGTACGAAGAAGCTGCATCCTCCAGCCTCGACATCGCGGGTAGAGATTCTCAGTCTACCAGCATCGTGTGGCAAACAACCTTAGGACGGTCGACTGCCAACAGGTAACCATTTATCGGCTTCTGGGTCAGTTTAAATGTCCCAGTAGACATACTACCTTGACTTCTGATCATGCAACATCAATGCTGCACGCCGCCGACGAAGTGCAAGAAGAGGAAGTTGGCCTGCATCCGCTGCTTCATTGCGCATGCGCCATGAGCTGATCGTAGTTGAGTAATACAGCTTTTTAATTGCCGCACGCGACAAAGTCATAAGCCTCCTCTCGTTGCGCACGTTGCTGAAGTCGCACGCCGGGGTAAGATGAGAAGAGTTGACGGGCGGCACGTGAACGTTTGGAAAGGGTCTCCCCAGGTCCCATTGTACTAAGTTCTAACCGGATGATATCAGTATAGCGTATGCATTCCCTGGCTTGCGGCGGAGTACATCCCGAGGCACGCGTGCAGGAAGGGCCGACCCACGCCACGCTGACAGACAGGCAGCAGGAGCGAGGGTAGTTCGGTGGATACCCAACTAGGTCAGCATGTCAGTTTGAGACCAACCCACTTTTCCTTCACACCAAATGCACGTGTACGGCACGACCCAGTGTGGAGCAAACGTATTTCATTGACGACTTTTCTGCATACAGGCAGCTTTGGGTACACATACACACCCTGTTTTCTATATCTATGCTTCCCCGGAGAATGATAACACCTTGAAATGCAGTGAATGACGCAGTGAACCGAGTATGGTCCAAAAAACAAGTAAACATATACACTGAAGCCAAACATAACCCGCACAGTCTAATCTGCGTTGCACTTCCCGGAGGAAGTTCAGCCGATAATCCCATGAAATTCTGCCTTGTACTGCCGCCGTGCGTAATTGATGAATGGTCCGTTGCCCCTGGCAGATGCAATTGGTGAGGTGATGTGTCTAATGCTTTTTTTGATGATGAGAAAAGAAATCGTGAATACCGCCGTGTGTGATTCGTGACGCCTTGCATGCCGGTTGGCCGCAAGGCTGGCTCCGGGAACTCCGATGAGAATGCATCGCCCAGCTGAGTTCGACTCGTGCTGGGCGAGTTTGCTGAAATTTAATGAGTCTAATGGTTTGGATGGTAGAGTGATGTAGATCTCGATGATAAAGTGATGATACTTTGTTGTGGAGCTGTACTGTCGCATGTACATGGAGTTTGGATTGATCCTGATGATGCTTGAGGACCGATTCTGGCAATGGAGTAGGAATGAGCAAAAGTGGTGGCGCTCAGATTTCGTCGAGAGGCGTGAAAAGACGTTTCATGTTTAGCGTCAAGTCGGCGATGGCGTAGTCGTCAGCGATGGCAACCATGGAGCCGATCTCGATGCCTTTCTGGGCGGAGTCTGATGCAACGTAATGTCTGATCTGTTTCAGGAGATTGAACACATGCCGGCACCGAACATCAGCAGGAGCGGCCCAGTCGTCTGGTCGAGACTGCCGCAAGAACGCTTGAGCTAGGAAGTAAAAGTGGATGCCGTCTCGGCAGAATCCACGTCGACGCTGGTTCTGTGTGAACTGGATAGCAAGGTCCTTGTCCCAGCAAGCCTTCCATAGCGAAAGAGCGCCGACCGTCGAACGCAGCTTATTTTGGATTTGCTCATTGACGCCATTTGGTGGTGTGGCAGGACTATCGCCTTGCGATCGGGGTGTGCTTGTACCGCTCGAAGACACTCGCTGGAGCAGCTGATGCTGGATGTTGTAGATTTGAGCATGAATCGCGTGAATGAGAACTGGAGACGACGTTAGAGGGCTGTTGTCGACGGCAGACAGAAAAAACTTACTGAATTTTCCAAAGACATTAGTAGCCCGCTCAGGAAATTTTCCTGGACAGGCCCCATTGAGTACACACAACGCCTCGCACAAGGCTAGTTGTTTTGCGCGTCTGCTTCCCGATTCGTTGCTCATCTGCGCTGACGATCCTCTCAGACCCAGAGCACTGGCGCATTCTTCAGAAGTCTTCGCTTCCCAGGCTGCATCATCGGCCGGCAGAGGGACTGTGATGCTCTTGGCGTCGAACCTGGGCTGTGTGTTGAAGAATATGGTGGAAGAAGCATCGATAAGATAAATGTATGCCGCCAATCGAGTTCGCTTTTCATTCTCAATCCAAGAGTTCCAGTTCCACGAGTCCACCTCTGCACCTGTTATTGGTCCAGGTTGGTGCAACGCGCTCGCATTCGGATTGTCTTGAGGAAGAGGTTGGAATAGTGCCGCACAACGTGTAATGTTGACCACTGTCCGCACCTCATCTCGCACTTGTTGACGTTGTTGCTGGGACCCGTGCCATAGGAACTGAGAGTGAAGGAGGACTAGTGCTTGTATCTCCTCGGTAGTTGCAGTCAGCTGATGGTTCAAATCAGCCATCTGGTGCGCCTGCGCCAGTTCGTGAACATGACTAGATTTCAGCATGCTCTCTCGCACACGATCCATCAGCCATCGGACATCCGAAGGGCGCATTCGATCAGAATACACGGCGCCAACACAGCACATCGCCAGAACAAGCCCAGGGTTGGCGGAAAACGGATCAAATGTTGCAACGTGTATCAAAGGCCAGTGTGATTGATAGTGTCTGTATTGGTGTAGGAAATCCTTTACGTTGTCTCCAGTCAAGATAGTCTTCAGCCTTTCGTGAGCGTACGCCTCGTCTGATTGTTGATTTGAAAGTAAAGACGCATTCGGAAAGCAAAAGTTGAAAAGCGATTGTGCCAGGTTGTGCAGAGGATCAGACGTGGATTGGCCAATAAACCAGTTGTCAAGCATCGGGGAAGAGTCGGCCAAACTGGGAACATGCGAGTATAGTCCAAACAAAGTATCATGTGGTGTATCATCTGAGGTCTAAAAGTTCCGGTCAGAACTGGGCCGATTTTTGAAAGGTTGGGCCACCTGCCGTACTGGAATTATTCATATCGCCGTTGAACGATCCGTTTCGCCAAAGTGAGCCATCCTGGCCGTTGGTCATGCCGTCCACGTTGGGCAGGGTCGATGCTCCTCCGTACGAAGCTGGGTCCGCGGCCTCACTCTTAACGGTCATGCCATTCTGTGCCATCGAACCGTTGGTGGAGGCGTGGTCATAGTTGTTGTAATGGGAGTTGGGGTCGGATCCGTTGGCTGCAGGCTGAGTCTGCTGTTGCTGCTGCTGTTGCGCGTAGCCATTGGCGAGACCGTCGGGCCGGTAGTCGTTGAAGTTCATCCTGTTGTTCGCGAAGTCCATGGCCGACATGCTCCTACGATGCGCGCTGTCCTCTACTCCACTGCTGGGGCGCATCAAGCTGTTAGAGCGAGATGTGCGCGCCGACATGGACTGGTGATGGTTGGCAAGCGAAGGTAGGCTGTCGTTGAAGCCATTGCCGCCCATCGCCGGCATCTGAGGCAAGCCCATGGTGTAGCCACCAGCATCTGCGTAAGACATGGAATTCGCGCCAATGTGGTTGAGGTACGAGTTCTGGTCCGCGCCGCTGGGCTGCCTGTTCTTCTGCAGATGTTGTTGCGCGTGCTGGAGGTGGTTCGCGCCGGTTGGGTTACCCCTTCGTATTGAGCACTTTTGGAAGTGACGCTTCAGGATGTCGCTTCTGCTAAAAGTGTCCTTGCAGAGATGGCATTGGTAGGGCCGCTCGCCGGTGTCTGTGTAATGTTAGAAGCGGAGCGCGGTTATGTGGAGGCTAAACTTACGGCGCAACAGATGACGCTTGAGATGCTTCAGGTGCAGGTACGTCTTGTTGCAGTGAGGACACTCGTATTTGCCCTCGGCATTCTTGGTTGCAGTGGTGGGAGTCTTGCCTGCAGCGGGTGCGGGCCTACCGGGGTGCGTGGGCAAGACTCCGCGACGACCTTGCTGACCGACGACGTGAACGGGTTCGGGCTCCTGGTTGGGGAGTACGGGAGGGTGGGCGTACATGGACGTGTGTCCCAGTCCCATGCCAGGAGGGCCGCCGAGCTGGTGGCCGTTGGTATGCGCAGATGCTGTGGACAGCATAGGCGCCTGCGAATAAGCCGACGACATGGGCATGTACGAACTCGGCGTGGGCTGGAGGGGTCGCAGCGGCGGGTGCTGTAGCGGAGGCATGGTAGAACTGCCATTGGCGGCCGAGGTCACAGGCGTGTGCGGCGGCTGGGGCGTGTGAGGGTTGCTATTGTGGCTGTACATGGGCGCGTACTGGCTGGCGCTCTGTAGAGGCGGCAGGGTGGGCAGCTGGTTGTTGTTGTTGCCATTGTACTGCTGCTGGCCTATTGATGGGTAGCTATTGAGGCCAGGCTGACGGAAGCGGTCTGTGGAATCCATAGTGAAGTTATTGGTGGGTCGAGGGTGAGTGAAGTGATGGGAAAGGCGCGACCAATTGTTAGTCGTGAAGGGACCATTCGACGGAGCTTAGGGCGGAGTAACGTGTGCAAGGCTGGCTAAGCACACCACGAGGGCCGTTAGACGGACGTCGGGATGGAGGAACGATGGGCCACGAAGAAGCTTTACAGGTGGAGCCGTGTGGGGGACTGAGATGGCCAGTCGATACGCGTCGGCGGGTACTCCACGGGTGAGGTGGAATTGGGGAGCCCGCAGTGGGTGAGACGACGAGGTGATGGGTAAGAGGGGCGGCGATGTGGAATGGAAGAGTTTACCGGCGACGATGGGTTTCTCGTAGCTGGACTAGCAAGAAAGTTGCGTCGGTGGTTTGCCTGGCTCGCGCGGCAATTCACGCGAAGGGACAAGGGACCTGCTGCAGATCGGCGGCCCACACACCCTTCAGCCTCAGCCGATTGATTGCGGATAGACCAAGTGGAGAGCTGTAAGCACGAGACAGGTACGGTAGACCCACGACAGGAGTGAGGGCTGTTGGGGAGCTTTGGGGGAGGGGAGAAGGTGGCTCGGGGTAGAGATAGCGGTCGGCGAAAAAAATATGCGAGTTCTGCTGCGAGAAGTGCCCGTCTTCCGCACCACGTAATTCCTGTTTCCGCGCTGCTGAATGCCGGAGCTTGCCGGACGTTGATAGCGAGCAGATATGGCTTGTCAAGAATAATGTGGGTGGCAGATACTGTGAGGAGGCAGGGGAGGCGTCGGACGCGCAAGAGATTTCTGAACAAGGTCTGTCGCGGCAAGCGCGTCGGGGTGCCTGTGCAGCGACGTTACAGACTTAGGGCGGGAATAGTAGGTGAGGACAGTGGGAGAGATGCAGGACCATCTCGAGACCCCGACTACGCCTAGGGACTAGGGACTCGGACGCGGCACGTGATGACCGAGACTGATGACTTTTCGCATACGTGAGATGTTCGTATTGTGTGCACTGCATTGGAGCGCGTATGCGCCGCCCGTTGGAAAAAACTATTACCAATGACGACAGCCGTTCGTGGGCTAACGGGCCAGGACCCAATTGCATGCACATGCACAGATGCCTTAGATTCCTAGTCTACGCGCTGGCCGGGGCCCTTGAGTCGTGCCCACCTCCGAAGCTGGGTGCGTGTATCGATGCGTATCATAGCCCTCCCGTATGTCCCCCGACCTCGTCCATTACCATGGCCCAGGAGTTTCAACCACGCCACGGCGCGGCAATCGATAAGGGCAAGAGCCTCATTCCACCATCGCCCGCACCGTCTTTGGCGGTTTCACTTTCCAGAACCCCCATTCCCATGGTACCTCCCAGTTGCTCGTACGTACTGTCGGCGCGCCTTAGTCTGCGTGACTTGTCAGAGCCACCGGATCGGTAAGGCCAGCGAGCGCGAGCAAGCAACTCATCCGAGCATCGACCCGACAAAGGCCGAGCTTCACGTCGCGTTGGCGGCTGTGGCTTGCTGGGGTGTTATATCCGTCCATGAAACCAAGCGCACCCGACGAGCTTCAAGCCCCAGAAATGTTTCCGCACAGCTCTGCCAGCGCGTCCCGTGGTCGCAGCCCTCTGCTCCATGTCTCTCAGCTCTCTCCGAGCCGTCGCTGGCGGGAGCGCTGGGCCAGTGGCCGTTGGCAGGCGCCGAGCGTGAGGTGAAAAGTTTCGTGAGCGTGACGTATGGCTACCCGCAAGCAGCTAGCGCGCAGCTGGGATCCCTTGACGGCAGATTGCAACGGCGTCCGCCAAATCTTCGGCTCGCCAGATCCTTCGGCTGTGCGACCCTCGAATGAAACCTCACGTCTTGAAACAGCTCTGCGGAATGGATGCGCTGGAAGGTCGAGGCGCCGGGCATTCAAATCGAAACAACACACGCTGCAGCTCCAGAGACGACAGCAATGCGCGACGTCTTGTTGGCCGCGATCGCCCAAGGCGAATATTGTTGAATGCCTCTCGTCCACTCAGCTTACGTATCGCGACTTGGAACGCCGCTAGCGTCTTCTATCACGATGCCGCTCGGCCTCGAAGCTGACGGTGAAGGACGCTCAATGCGGCATACCGCGTGCTGCTGCTGACTCGATTACAGCACCAAAAGTGACACGCATCCAATGCCTGCCAGCTCAACTCCTTCATAACTGCGCACCCTGTGCCCTAGTCCGCTCTTGTGCTGCCGTGCATATCCTGCATCTATCTGCCTCTTTTCGAACGCGCAATATGTTGTCAAGAGATTGTGTGCACAAAGTCTTGCCGTGACCGTCGCTTGAGAGCATCCGATCTTGACGTTGCATGCTTGGCAAAGTACAACGCAACCTTTTGCGGAAGAATTTGCCGAGGCTTTAGAGTGCAAGGTGATGGAAGAGAAATTTTCCTCGGCAAGCGGCATGCTGTCACAGAGACCGATGGCGCGATGCTTTGTAGTTGAGCTTAGACGGGCGTCGTGGCTTGCCAGAGTGCCGTTAGATGCAGATGAGCCAACCCCCCCACGTGTTGTGCGCTATCCCACATCGCTCTTGTGTATCAAACTCCCGGCATGCCAGCAATTCTTGCAGCTTGCGCCATGCCATCCGATGCGACACCGTGCGCTCAATCGCTCTCAGGGTTTCGACGGCACCCCTAGGCGTGCTAGGTGGCCGCATCTGCGCTCCCTGGACGCGCAATGCTCCTGGAATGCGCACACTGCCCACACGCTCTGCATCGTGGAAGTTGGAATAAGCTCCAGTCCCACTTGCGGTTGCGCTCCCGAATCTGGGTGTGGATGATACCCGAAGGTGGGCATCAAAGTGGGCTGTCCGCTTGACGCGCTGCAGTGATTCCCAAGACGGCAAGACCAGCGACATACAGGCGGGATGTCTATGTCGTGCAGCAGGCTCTGACCCGCCGTGGCTTGACCGTCATGCACTCGATGAGTTTCAACCTCCTGTCTTGTGAGGTCACGCCGCCGAGAGAAAGACCGGTGAGGCGCTGGGACAGGCTTCCGACGTCAAGATAGCGTATCATACAAGTCATGGAACCAGGGTCCTTGACCGGACGAACTTGGGACTGTCCGCCGACTTTGCGTAGGCGGAAGTGCAGTTCCGATGCGTAGCTGCGCTTGGCTTCGACGCGCATATGACTCGATGCGAAGCCAGGAGCAAGGCGCAGGCTGGTTCGCAACAAGGCGAGGCTGCCCACTGAAACACAGCGTTGTAATCATCGTGGTATGTCTGCTGGCGCTACGGCAATGCTGTAATTGCAGACATTGTGAGTTTGGTAGGCGCGACTCCGGTGCGGTATAATGATCCATCTCTTTCTCTCATCATTACCGTGAATGGGCGATTTGAGAAACATGGCTCTCAGAGCCATGATTTGATGTGCTTCGGAGTTTGGGCGTGGTAGGAGAAATTCCTGAATCCTGATGGTCACGTTGCAGGCCCTTGTGTACCAGAGGCATTGCCTGCCTTGCTGTGGAGCGCCACGGTACCCAGGTACCACCTTTGGTGCACTCGATGCTCAACATTTCATCGAAAAAAAAATTGTAAGGTTGGGATATAAGGATACATATGTATTTGGGTACAGCTGATATCGAATAAAAACTGGATCAATTGCGGAGACGTACATGCTTGGTGGCGCTTGCTCTAGTAGGCAGGCATGGTAGGATGCGACAACCTGGGTAGGCTTGAGCATACATATACGCAGTGGTGGCCTGCATCTTGCTCGTTTGTATCGCTCGAAAATTCTGGACAATGTGTGCCATCGATCCGATTGTGTCCAATCTAATGTCACAGGTTTTGTGCGTCTTGATGAAGTTGGCCGGCTGGCTCACCTTATGTAGCCGTCTGTAGCAAGATGCCAACAACTGTCTTTGCTGCAGTGTGCGACTTGAAATTCGTCGCATTGCTTCCTGTAACTGTAGTAGTGATCCGTCTACTACGAGCAACAAACGTTGTGGTGAGCCGCACCGCAAAAGTGCGTTGCAGAGGTTTTCCTGCCCGGGCATGCGAAATACATGAAAATCCAGACAATGGGAAACTGGCACTTCGGAGGTTGCGATCATGTTTGGATGGGTGTGTTATGATACTCGATAATTTATACTATATTCTCATGGTGTTTTCATGTGCTTTCTAGTGATGTGTGCAATACGTGATTATTCTTCAATGTTTAGAGGTTTCTAGAATTGACGAATGTAGCTTCTCCATTCACCGCAACACCCAACGGCTGTACTAATAAACGCACTCTCGACTTCGTCTTCCGAAGATCAAAACACTCCATGAGAACAACAACAGCTCTAGCACAAGTCTTACGTGCCCACACAACTGCGTTCCGCCGTCCACAAAACTACTGCATCCACGTTCCCCACCTACAAGCACGGGCGATGTCAGACTCCACCAACTCAGCAAATCCGCCTACTCCACAGGATGCTCAGGACCAGACGTCGCAGGAATCCAACAAAACTCCACTACCCCTTCCGGCACCTACAGCTGAAGAGGGTACCACGCAGATCAACGTCGGTGGGCAAGCGGTCAAGCTGGATCATCTGGGCCCTCTGGTAGTGAACAAGGATGGCACATTGTCGCGCATCGCAAATTGGGAGCAGATGGCGGACATCGAGAAGCAGAACACGTTGAGGATTTTGGTGAAGCGAAATCAGTTGAGGACAGAGGCTTTGAAAGAGAAAGCAGATGGGGAGGGGAATCGGGCTTGATTGAGCATGGATCACGGGCGGAAACACATGTACATGTATCGGGTAAAAGGTTGTTGTAACTTCATCTACAAAATGTGATGTTTCTTCTTCTACTATCTATATTCTGGGTCGAAACACATGGCTCTATGGCTTCTGGGTCTTTGTGTGTGTCATACGCTCGAAGTAAGACCATTGGCCTTCTGGCGCCGGCTCCTCGAGTGGCTCCCAACTGTGGCGGGTTAGCTGTGGTATGAGTAGTCAGGAAGTAGTCTACTTACACCTTGGCCTCGACCATGACGTCTACAAGCTTATGTTCGCCCTCAGCAACCTGGATGACTTCTTCAATCAATCCTGCGCCAATTCTGCTCTCAAGTTCCGAGATGCTGTACAAGTTAGCCACGGATACATTATCGATTGCGGCTCATGTATGACATACGCTTCGGCAGTGTATTGCGGCTCAGGGTCGAACTTGACATCGGCGACTGCCCGCTCGGGCGTGTAATTGACATCGCCCTTCATCTTCTTGGCATGGGGCAAGCGCTCTTTCGACGACCGAATGCCCTCGGGGAAGGTCTCGACGGCCTCACCGTCCCACTCAGCAGCCTTTGACCGCTCATCGACCTCGTGCTGGGTTGGGAGTATAATGGTCTGTCCGCCTGTTGTGTCGATGGCCTGATATCTTGTCGGGTCCTGGCTGACTTGCTGCGCGACCTTTTGCTGCCACTCATCCCATCCTGCTGGCGTAGCTTGCTCGATGACGGCTAGGCGGTGCTTAGTGAGGGCCTCGGTTGATTGGCGGTATACGGAGGATTCGGGAATCTTCTTAAGCTTGTCGAGGGTGGAGTGGTAGTGGTAGAGGAGGGTGGAGCGCGGCGACGGGTGGGTGAGCAGGCCTGTGAGACCTGTCGGCGTGCCGGCCTCGAGGAACTGGCCGGGCTTGACGCTGGCGAGGAGACGTGCAGCTGCCCTCATGTTGGCGGGAGTGTGCGAGGTGGGGCGGGGGCGCAATTGGTGCTTCGCAGTGGTGATGCCGTCAGGACGAAGATGCGCCCGCCAAGCGATATGCAGCCGGAGCGGCGGGCCCTAGCTAGTAAGCGTCCCATGGCTCAGGGACAATGCGCCCTGGAGACACGATTACCCTCATTCACGCGCGACGTCCCCTCCGCCACGCCTGCGTGATACACAGGCTCGCTGTAATTCCTACAACCTCTACCAATCGCGCCCCCGATACGCAACAACTTCCTTGTCCCCTCGCGTGCGGACCGCTGCCTCACACGAGCAGCCCGCCCCTCAGCCATCGCCGCGATGCGCTCTATATTATATTCCCTCCTGTCGCTGGCGACGTTTGCTTCCACACTTGCGGCCGATACTTCGAGTGCCCAGGCGACCGCCAAGAAGGATGACTGGGACGACAAGACGCCAGACACAATATTCAACGGCGAGACGGTGCCGCCCATGATAGAACTTGGGCCTGCCACCATAGACACCGAGATCAGCAAAGGCAACTGGTATGGAGACAGCTGTAGATCAATCACGGTATACTGACATTCTGCAGGATAGTAGAGTTCTTCTCGCCCTACTGCAGCCATTGCATGCACTTCAAGCCCACCTACCAGACCATCTACGAATTCTACTACACCTCGAAACCCTTTCTCTCAAAAGACGAGCCCGAAGGCGATTCCCTGAACTCCTTCACCCGATACTATGACTTCAAATTTGCCAAGGTCGACTGCGTCGCATACGCCGATATCTGCAAGAAGCACAACATCCAGAGCTATCCGTCCATGATCTACTTTCAAGACGGCAAAGAGATGGAAAGAGAGACAGGCTCCAAGGACATGAAGGGCATGAGTTCCTGGGTAGAGCGACTTTTGGAGACTCTCCGACCGGGTACACGCAAGGAGGGTGGTCCCAAGCTCCCCAAAGTTGGCGCAACATCTGTAGAAACTGGCCCGGAAACGGAGGAGGCTGTCAAAGAAGAGAAGAAGTCAGAAGCCCAAGACAAGAAGGCAGCGAGCCCAGCCACCAACCTAGCCGCCGGCGCCACACCTTCAGCTTCGCAAACGACCAAGGCTGCGCCTGCAAAGGTTGAGCCCACCTCGAATGCGAACCCATCCGGCATCGTCGAGCACCTTACCGCCGAAACATTCGAGAAGCTCGTTACAAATACACGCGATCCCTGGTTTGTCAAGTTCTACGCGCCATGGTGTCACCACTGCCAGGCTCTTGCGCCGACGTGGGCGAACCTTGCGCGACAGATGAAGGGCAAGCTCAACATTGGCGAGGTTGACTGCGATGTGGAGAGGAAGTTGTGCAAGGAGGCCCGTGTTCGAGGCTACCCGACTATGCTCTTCTTTCAAGGTGGCGAGCGCATTGAGTATGGAGGTCTCCGTGGACTTGGTGATCTGCTTGACTACGCGGAGAAGGCCTCGGCGATCGGTTCTGGCGTGCCTGACGTGAACGCTGAAGAGTTCAAGAAGATGGAGGAGACGGAAGAAGTCATCTTCACCTACTTCTACGACCACGCCACCACCTCGGAGGACTTTCAGGCGCTCGAGCGACTTCCTCTTAGCCTTGTAGGCCGCGCAAAGTTGGTCAAGACGAATGACAAGGAGCTCTTTGACCGCTTCAAGATTTCCACTTGGCCAAGGTTAATGGTCTCAAGAGACGGAAAGCCTACGTACTACCCACCCAGGACACCATTCGAAATGCGCGATGTCAAGAAGGTCCTCACCTGGATGAAGTCTGTTTGGTTGCCCATCGTCCCCGAGATGACATCTACCAATGCCCGCGAGATCATGGATGGCAAGTTTGTTGTTCTGGGTATACTGAACCGCGACCGTTCCGACGAGTTCATCCTCTCTAAGCGTGAGTTGAAGAGCGCGGCTCTTGAGTGGATTGACAAGCAGGACACTGCCTACCAGCTTGAGCGACAGGAGCTTCGCGACGCGAAGCAATTGCGCATTGAAGAAGCCGAGGACAAGGACAATCAGCGAGCACTCAGAGATGCAAAATCCATCCGAATCAACATGGATGATATCCAGCGCACTCAAGTCGCATTCGCATGGGTTGACGGTATCTTCTGGGAACGCTGGATCCGGACCACATACGGTGTCGATGTCAAGGATGGCGAGAGCGTCATCATCAACGATGAAGATGTAAGTCACTTGGATTCGCTCACATGTATCTTGCTAACACACATAGAACCGTCGCTACTGGGATAGCACCGTATCTGGCGAACCTATCCGCCTCTCTCGCGCCGCAATCCTTGAAACCATCAAGATGGTTACCTCGAACCCGCCCAAGATTGCCGCCAAATCTACCACTGGTCGCATTACTGGCATGTACCTCTCCACTCGTCACTTTATCAACAACCATCCCTTCATCTCGCTCGGCATGTTCGTCGGTTTCTTCACTGCTGCGACACTATTCGGCAACAGCAGGCGGAAGAGAAGGTTTGGAAATACCGGCGCGTACTTCCAGCTGGGAGAGAAAGATGGCTTACTGGGCGGCATGGGTAACGGCAACTTTGGAGGCGCGAAGCACGATTAAGCTCTGAGATAAGACCACAGGATGACTGTTGGGTGGTTCGGCGTTTTCTTTGGCATGTAGCATAGTCACGATTGGTTCTGATGGCGATAGCGGTTATTCATCTCGCGTCTTGTATTAATACAAACTGTTGTTATCTGCACTGCAATGGTCAAAGTGTGCGCCTGTACATGCCCGGACGATATCACGACATTTCCAAGCTTTTGACGTGCTACGGTAAAACCACATGGAGGTCTAGAGCGTATGCCATCATATCCAAGCATGTCACTTGCAGCTGGCCATTGGGTGGAGCACACACGTGTCTACGCGACGTAGCTCCCCACGCGTACCCCACCACCCCTCCAACTTACTTTCACGCATTCTACGCTCTGAAACTCGGGTACACGTTCCGCCCTTGACAATCGTCCGTTCCTTTACAACTTCCACGCTGCATTCTCTCAAGTTTCTCCGCGCAGCGAGATCGTGCCATCAGCATCCTGTTGCGATCCAAGCACGAGCATTTCTCCCCCGCCGATTACCTCACACTCCCGCCCGCACGATGTCGACGATATCGCTATCGGATCTCGAATTCGTGACTCGCGAGTCTCTCGCCAGCGACTTCAAATCCTCTGGCAAATCGCTGCCGGAAAACACTGCAATCATCGACGTAAGACGACCCATTCAACACAAACCTTTCCCTGATATACACAAGACTGACCATGTGCCCCCAATCTAGGTACGAGACAGCGACCACGTCGGCGGTCACATCAAAGGCTCAACATGGGTACCTTCGTCGCAACTCGATTACAAAACTCCCGAGCTCATCCGCACACTACAAGACAAGGAAGTCGTCATCTTCCACTGCGCGTTATCGCAGCAACGGGGTCCCAGTGCGGCATTGAAATATCTGAGAGAGAAGGAGAGATTGGATCCGGCCTCGAAGGTGGAATCGAAGGGCGAGGTTGAGGAGCAGAGTGAAGCCGTGGATAAGAAGGAAGGAGAGAAAGGACCTAGCGGGACACAGGTCAAGAAGCAAAAGGTCTATGTGCTTCAGGGAGGGTTTACGATGTGGCAGGAGAAGTATGGACAGGACAAGGATTTGACAGAGGGGTATGAGAAGGATATTTGGGAGTTTGGTACGCCGGATCATTAGACGGTGGATGGACGCTGTTGCCGGAGAGGACTCGCCATACATCAGAAGATTATGACATCGAGCGTGACATCAACAATGATATTCTACAACAAACAATGAACTATTCATCAATACCCTAACAGCCCTTCGCATCAGCTTGGTCCTTGACCAACCCCGCGTAGTTCTGCTTCTCATAATCCATGATAGCCTGGACCTTCTTCGCACTCGCACTGCCCTTGTCAAACCGGTACCCCACCCACTCCTTCACTAACCGCCTGGCGAGTTCAATGCCAATAACTCGCTCGCCCATACACAGCACCTGTGCGTCATTCGACAGAATGGCGCGCTCCACCGAGAAAGAGTCATGTGCCGTTACAGCCCTAATGCCGGGCACCTTGTTCGCAGAAATGGCAACACCAAGACCAGTACCGCAGATGAGAACAGCGCGGTCTGCTTTGCCTTCTGCGACGAGCTTGGCGGCATCGACGGCGATGTGTGGGTACGCGGTCTTGTCGCTGTTTTCAGGTACGCCAACGTCGGTCACGGAGGCGATGCGCGAGTCGGCTTCGAGGTCTTTGATGATGGCTTTCTTGTACGAGACGCCTGCGTCGTCGCAGCCAATGGCTATGCGGAGGGGTTGCTGGTCTGATGACATGGTGGGTGCTGATATAGTACGCGTTGCGTGGGTGTAGGGAAGTTCTTAAAGTTCAGAAGTATCGTACTTCTTCTCGATGTTCCTTCTTTTCGTCTTGCTGACAACGTTCAAACGGCTTCGATCGCGTTCTTCTTCGTCGTCCTGATTTCTTGTTCCGCCACTTCGTCGGTCCGTTCTGTTTGTCGAATACGATACGTGACCCTCTGCGGAATGTACTTTCCGTCCGCTTCCTTCAATGACCTCGTTGACCGCGCGATTGACTGTCTTCTCAAACGGTTTCGTCACGTAGCTCAGATCCGTATGTCCGTGTGTCGGTCCTTTGCTTTCAATGACTTTAACTCTATCTGTACCGTCCTTGCTGTGGTCTTCGACTTTCTGGTACACGTGGTCGGCGTCGGTATCGAGGTTTAGAGAGAACAAAGCGCGTTTGGGAGGGGCCATCTTGGGCGGCCGGGAGGAGGCAACGTGTTATATACGATTCGCGACAGTGGTTGGCAAAGGCAGGGGGCGTTGTGTCGGCGGTTCGGTTGAATGAGGGGTTAAACAGACGCCGTGACGCCGCAGAAGATAGGCGAAGCTGGAATCTGGATTGCGGGATGCGGGGATCGGGAGTGCCGGATGCGGTATGCCGGTGGGGTAAGAATGACAGGTTGCCTCGACGCGAGATGGTGACGGGATGAGGTAGGCCGGTCTCGGTGATGCAAGGCCGAAGTTTTGGTGATCTATTTCGGTGTTTGCTCCGACGGCTGGAAGTGATGGAAGTGTGAAAGTTACGAGCTGTCAGTGTGCAGATGTCGACAGACTTCTTGGCATGAGATACATAGCGACACCACAAGTCAATAACAAATCTACTTTCATTTGCACTTGTTCAATTTTCATATGTAGCCTTTACGTATGTTTACATCACTGTAGCTATTTTTTACTTCTTGATGATTCCACCCGTCTCTACTTCTTCTCCTCTCCAAAAAGATCCTTCTCTACCATCTGCCTACAGATCGGATGGTAAAAGTCCTTGTTCTTCTCAAACGTGCTAACCGCCAAGTCACGATCCGCCTCATTCAAGAGTCTGAACATGGGCCGCACGAACTTCATCCGACCAATCTTGCCCAACAATGTTGCTGCAGGCTCGTAAGTCTCCTGTGCCTTGGCCATGAGCCCGATGTTGAGGTAGCGCGACAGAACCTCAATGTTCTGAGTTTCGTTATAGCCATAAGTCGCACCGAGCAGGTGTACTTTTTCGGCTGAGAATTTCGATGCGAAAGACTGGAGCTTCTCGAGGAAGACCACGGACTGGTTTGACACCCAGCCTTCGATGTCAGAGGCTTGGGGCTTGAAGTCGTTAGATTCGGAGGAGATCAAAGCCTGCCATTTGTCTGCGAGTTCGTAGCAGCTCTTCACCATAGTCTGGTCAAAGTCTGGCTTGACAGGGAATCCCGGTGCGTAGAACAATTTGTCCCAGTCGAAGTTGTCCAGCTTTTGCTTGCTCTCTGCGTCTTTCTCGAAGAACTCTAGGAGGCAACTCTTAAAGTCGTACGAGTCGACAGACTTGAACTTGAATGTATCGAAGTAATGGGGAATGAAGGAATCCCACTTCTTCTTTCCGAGAAGCAGCTCGAATTGGTACAGGGCGTGGAAACCTTTCTCGTACGGGATGGAAGAGAAGGCGTCATCAGGATCTTGGCCCTTAAGATCGAGAACAAGTTTAGTGTAGGGGTGGTCTTCGCCGTAGTTCTCAATGCTTTGCTCTAGAGCTTTCCAACCAATGATAGCAGAGAAGTGGCGATGTGCCTCTCCATGAAGAGCAGCAGCGATCCTGCGTTCCAGATACGTAGTCCAGCCTTCGTTCAACCAAAAGTGCTCCCAGCTTGCTGCGCTGACAAGGTTGCCGGACCATGAATGTGACAGCTCATGTGCGATGACGTCGACGTTTTGCTTGTCACCAGAGATGATGGAGGGAGTGGCGTAAGTCCAAACCGGGTTCTCCATACCGCCGTATGGGAATGAAGGGGGCAAAATAAGCACATTGTACTGTCCCCACTGGTAGGCAGGCGAGACGATGGATTCGAGCGCCTTCATGAAAGGCTCAATCTCGCCGTCAAGCTCGTCTTTGCAGGCAAGGAGCTCTTCAGGACCAGACCATACCGTACTGCGGGGACCGATGCTTGCGCACGCTAGATCTCCACTCGCGACAGCGAAGAGGTAGACAGTCATGGGGACCTTTTGCTCAAATGTGTACTTCATGGTACCGCTCTCACCATCCTTCTTCGGGGGCAGGTAGTCACTTGCCCCGGTAGGCAGACCTGAAGCAAGCACCGGTAGGGGCGAGCGGAGAGCAAAGCTGAATGTCGATTTGACGTCTGGAGTGTCTTGACAAGGGAAGACTGAACGTGCGTGGATGGCCTGGCATTGCGAGAACATGTAGGGGTGCTTCTTGTTGGAGGTCTGAGCGGGAGTCATCCACTGAAGTGCGGTACACTTATCAGTGGTTGCGACCTTGATCTCTACATCAACAGTCTTGCCTTTGGGAACCTTGGAAGGAAGAGTGATGGTAAGAGGGCTGCCATAGGGTTCCACGCGATCTCCTACGTTGAACTTGACGCTTTTGCCCTCGACTTCTACAACGGAGATGTCAAGAAAGCTAGATTTATTTAGTAAAGAATTTCAAGCATTCAGTCTTGCAGAGAATGTGTACATACCTGCTGTCCAACACAACATCTTTCACATCCTCATCCGTCAAGCACTCCAACGTCAGCACCACACTTCCAAATAACCTCTTCTTCTGGAAGTCGATATCGAAGTCTACACTAGTATGCCGTGTCACAAAGTTGTGATAGTTAGACAAAGTGTTGGGATCCCTGGGTGTGCGGATCTCGATGTTTGGGTCCGCCATCGGTTTCGTTAACATGGCGGCGGGGGAGCGATGCATCGTGGCGAATGCGGCTGTCCTCGTAGCTGAAGGTGTGAGAGGTCGACCTATCCTTGAATGTTGCTTGGTATATTGTCTTCCAGTCAAGGTTGGTGTTGGTGAAAGACGGACGTCTTGGGAGAGAAACGTTGCAGGTGATCGCGTGGTTTGGAGGTATCGTCGGAGTGGAGCAGCTTCATATGCCGATCTATGCCGCAGCAGAGCAGATGACCACCTGCCTAATGCGCTTCTGGCGGACATCTAGATATATCGCTCTCGCAATTCGAGTAGATAATGGGAATCGGCCCTCACAGCGACAGTGGCGCGATAAGTCACCGCCTGTCTAGTCCGGATCCAATGTGGAGGTGCACGGCCTTCGGCGACCCGACGAAGAGCTTTGTTGTAGTTCTTCCGAACTGTCTTTGCAACCAACATCATCAGCAACAAAACCGGGCATGGAAAGCAAGCCAGCAAAATTCGTGATCATGAACGTGGGACTGTGAATGATATATTGCAAATGCCCTGAAATGCCAAACGCTTCGATACCCAAAGCAAGCCAACGTGCTATGCACGTGTTGCTACCAACACCTTTACACCTTATTCACACAATGCTGTCTAATCCTTCTTGCTGCCTTCCCCTTTCCGCGTCCTATCTCTCAGGACGAGATTGATGTCTGGTTGTGCTGACTGGTACTGCTGTGCTGGTCTCGATACTGAGCGCTCATTCGTCGACGCAAGCGTCTCCTCTGCCCTCGATCTGCCCCTGTCCCTTTCGTCATCTCCAATCTCAAAGGCATCATCTTGGAGTTCTATGAGGTCGCCCAGATCACCGCCGACAGCTCCCAGGACAGGTACGGCACTGCGTTTCCCTTGTCCAGGTGTGCCCGGCTCATTCAAAAGCTTCTGTGCTTGTGTACCGACCTTCCTTACCCATCCTTCTATAGCACCCCCAAGCTCTTGGAAATCCAAGCCGCTGCCACTGAGCGGAGTGACAGCCCCGGATCCGCCATACTGACTTGATGTTCCTGCACCTGCGTCCAGCAAACCCGGCGCCCACGGTGTAAAGTATTCCTGTCCGGGTGGAGGAGCCATATTGGGCAGGTACTGAGCGAATTTCTTGTTCAGACCATCCTGCGCAGGCCCAGGGCTTCGCACATTCCTGCCCATTGTACCGACACCCCCTGGGCCTTGCAGACCCCATGCTTTGCCTGATGTACTTCTTTGACGACTGTGGGCTGAGGCGGATGACAGGTTGCTTGACGCGCGCGGTCGAACGGATTGCGAGGGAGAGCTAGTGAGCGGATTTGTGGAGGTGGACGAGCGTGGAAGGTCGACAGAAGCCCGGGGGGTCGACGCATCGGAGTACGCGAGAGACTTTCGTCGAGCGGGTGGAAAAAAGCCAAGCGCTCTTCGTGGCATGCGGCCAATCTGTGTGGGCTGTTTGTCATTAGGCAGAAGAACCCATGAATCATGTGTCCATGGTGTCTCTGGGTCAGATGAGGGGACGGAGTCGTTCTCTTGGTCTTTCTTCTTTGGCGTGGTCCAGCCGTTAGGAAGACCTTGAGTATCCGAAAGTGGAGCCTTGCTATTGGAATCTTCGCCGTACTCTCCCAGTAACAGATCTTCGGCAGGGAGAGCATCCGGGCCTTGGACTCGTTTCCCTTTTACGCCACACGCATCTACTGGCAGGACGACTTGCTTCTTGATCTGTACACTATCGTTCGGCCACATACGATTGGCCTTCCGTAGCACAGCTTGCTCGCAGTTGTATTTGATGCTCAGTCCCGCCAACGTGTCCTGCGGGCGAACGTGATGTATGTATACAAGTGCATCTCGGTCGTCGTTCTCGCTGGGAGGTGCGGAAGCGCTGATCCGTTCATCCGAATTCCTGCGCTTTATGCGGCCGACAGAGTCCGGTACCAGATGCTCACCGGCGGTCAGTAGATCTTTGCGCTTCATCGCTCTGACCATGGCCTCTCTCTCTTCGTGTGTTCCAGCTCCGACATGCGAGCCTGCGCCTGCAGGACCCCAGTGTTTCGGCGGCGGGGCGCTTGTCGACGTCCGACGCCCATGGCCCGGTTTACGTCTGCGAGTATTTCCAGGTTCGTCCGAGGTACCGTCACTGGCCAGGACAGTAGCGGCAATGCCCTGAATAGCCGCCAGCGAGTTTCCCCATAGGCCGGAAAGTGTTTGGGAGGGCGATTTCGGGGTCGAGGTGCCCGAGGACCTTTGGAAGGAGGACGAAGGGGCAGAGGTGACGTTTAGACGGGACGAGGAAGCGCCGCCCGTGCGTGCATTCGGGGTGGGAGATGTGTTCCGCGAGTTCAATCTCGACGTGGCCCTACTGGGTCCGCTCTCACTTCCACTCGTCGCATAGATGTCATCTTCCACCGAGATCAGTCTTCGGGTGCGGGGGCGCAGTGTCGAGTTGCTCTTGGACGTGGACAGCGAGGAGCCATTGGAGGGGTTCATGGCATGCGGACGCCAGGCGGAGTGGGTAACGGTGGTGCTGCATAGGCCAAGTGATTGGAGTGGTCGGGAAGCCGCATGACATGGGGTTACGGGAACATGGCGTGGACGTCAGGAGCAAGGACGGAAGCGCAGTGTCTAGGTTGCTCGGGTATCGTGAGGGTCAACAGCTGGGGAAGGAAGCTACGTAACCCCCGAGTACCACACCCCTTCATTCAAACACGCCCGTGCGCTGTGCCGCCGAACCGTCAGAACGTGCCATGCCAAGTCACCTAGGCACCATGCAGAAGGCTCACGATTGATTAAGATGAATTGGATACGTAAGTAGTGGGTACTCTTCGACTTTCACCGCCCCTCCGTGACTTCTCAAACTGCCTGGGCGCCGTGTGACGATAAGGCCAGATAACGACTAGCTTCAGGCCAGAGCTGACTCGGTCACCCCATGCATTCACGACATTACTTCATGGTTTGGATACAGATCGTGCATTGTCATGTACTATAACACTACTGCGTAGCGACACGCAAACAAACGCCATGTGCGTGTATTAAACCCACGGATATCATCATCAGTCGTCATAGTCGACAGAACGAGAAACAGTAAGAACACATTATCGAACAGAACGAATCTCACCCACCCACTGGCCTGTCCGTCACCGGAACGGGCTCGAGCTGGTCGTCGCATCCACATCTTCAAACTCCAGCTCAAACGCGTCCACTTCCTCAAACTTCTTTCTGATAGCAGCCAACTTCTCAGACTGTTCAATGGCTGAGACTTCGGTGGTCTCTGCTTCGTTCTGGTCTGCAGTCTCATTTTCCTTGTCCGACGAAATCCTGCGACCGTACGTTCGGCTCGACTTCCCTGCTGGTTTTGCTGGTGCAGTCTTCTTGGCGCGAACTGTTTTCTTTGTTGCTTTTGGCGATGCCGGCTTTCCAGCCCCCTGCCTCTGACGAACGCGACGTGTTGGCATTTGTAGTTCATCTTGATCCGAGTCCACTTGCTCAATATCATCCGACGATTCGATCTCAAACTCATCGCGATCCCGCAAGCGATTGCGCCGACGTGGAAGCAATTCTTTGAGTTGCGCGGTGGATATGCTCTGTTGTGCCTTCTTCTTAGCCCTCTGCTTAGCCCTTGCAGGTGTCTCTGTTTCCTCGCCATCAGAGTCCTCGTCCACCACGGGTGTCTTGGCCTGCCGTCCTCTCCTGCGTGGTCGCGTTTGCGCTGGGGTTGGAGGCGGCTTTGATACTTCGCGTTCCGGGCTACTTGACATGGGAGGTGCAAGCGTCTCGCTCAAGGGTTCATCGTCTTCCTGTGTCTGCGCGATGACTTCCTCACGTGTCGGCAGTACTTCTGGTAGGCTCGGGGAGTGTGACCGCTCCGACTCCACATCGCCGCCAGACTGTGGACTGACTGGTGGTGACGAGCGTGGTACTTGGACTACAGGCGACAGCTTGCGCTTTGTACCACGGGAACCGGAGCTTGAGATCTGAGTGCCGCTATCATTCCGTGTCTCCTCCTCCGGTACCTGTTTCCGCACGTTGAAGGGTGTTGATTCGGCGTGGGGGAGGAAGTCGTCAAAGTCGAAATTGTCCGTGTTGTCCAAGTCGTCTTGATCATTGTCCTCCACGTCCGTAGTCTGCTGCACCATGCGCAACAAGCTTGGCTGCCGTGCTCTGCGCTTGAAGTTGGTCAAAGCAAGTATCGATCTCTCGTGTGCGGGTGTTGCGCCGACTTTGATGGCAGACGGCGGGCGGGTGCCGTGAGCTGGTGAATTTGAGCCAAGGGAAGAGAATGTCAAGTCGCCATAGCCGCTATCGTCTTCTATCTGCGATTCTTCGTGTGCTGGTTCGATGGCAGTTGGCGATGTGTGTGCTGCGGACTTCCTGGCACTGCTCCTTGTGGCCCGCGTCCGCTTTGATGCATTCGATGCAGGAGTGCGGTTCTTAATCGATGACACAGGGATGTCTTCTTCAGCCGGCAGCGCGCCAGTCATGGTGAGCTCTGCCTCGTCCTGAGCCTCCGGTGTCTTCTCCCCCAGTAGAGTCCTGCGCAAACGCGTTGTTCTCGATTTGGTAACGAGGCCATCGCTGTCTTCGCTGAAACTATTGGCTGCCTCACTGAGCTTTTTGGTTTGCGCTGGGATGGGTTTCGCCGTCTGTTTGCGCGCCGGGGCAGCTTTCGGTTTGGTGGGTTTCGCGACGCGCGACGCGACCTTCGATCGTGGTGGGCGGGGCATTGTAGCAAGGCGCCAGCGCGAGTGTTTTAAGGTATTAGGAAATATGCGCAGGGACTGAGTGTGTTCGCGATCGGATTGATGCGGGCGGCGACCGTGCGACGGGGATGGGGATGAGGCGCGTCGATGTTGTGACGCACTGGATTGAATTCACCACCTAGCGCCGATCTAGACGCGCGAACACTTGGCTCACGTGTCAGCGCATCATCCACATGGACTTGTAAGCATGCCCATAGACAACGCGATGACTGTATTTTCTGCTTATGTAGTACCTCGCTGAGGTCTAGCGGTAGCCTGAACCTGCACGACGTGTTGAGGATGTTCTCAAGGCAACAACGGTTGGAGCGTACATAGCTGCCTTCACAGGCCCCAGATCTAACATTCCTTGCCTGTCTTCACTCACACTCCAGTGGCATCATGAAACCTCCCCACTATCCAGATTCGTTGCAAGAATACGCAGTATCTGAAAAGGATTATCTCCAGCAGCACCCCGAATACGATTGTCTCGTCACAGGGGCAATTGTGTTCAACAAAGAAGGCAAGCTGCTGATCGTGCAGCGTGCAGCGGAGGAAAGAGCGTTCCCTGATCTCTGGGTGAGTCAATGAGGAAGCTACGAGTCTCACGGTGCTAACACCAAAAAGGAGGTCCCAGGAGGCAAAGTCGATGATACGGACCAGACAATTCTGCATGCTGCTGCTCGAGAGCTCAAAGAAGAAGCTGGTCTTGAAACGACCCGCATACTGAGGAAAGTCACGCATTTTACCTTCTTGGACAGGACCACGACATGGCTCAAGTTGGTGTTTGAGATGGAAGTGCAGAACGCCGACACAGTCGTCTTAGACCCAGTCGAGCACCAGAAGTACCTGTATGCATCCGAGGATGAGGTTGTCAAGGACAAGGTGGGGGATGTGGAGCTCAGGTACATCAGTCCTGCGAATAAGGAGGTCAAGTTGGAAGCGTTCAGACAGAAGCGCGAAGGGTGTTCCGCGTAGCAGTCATGGACGTTGGAAGAGTTGAAACGCTTGATGTATCTGGGAAAGCTGATTACTTCACGGGACGACTTCCGAGGCCATGCTTAAGGTATTGGCTGGACTTGACAGTACACTTGCTGTCGTGTGAGCAAAGCCAGCCCCTTTAGAGCATAGTCTGCATGTGAATGCAAATCACAAAGTCGAGTTTCCTCAAAGAGCCGGCGATGAGTTGCTTCCCATGCTGTCTCGCCGGTCCGCATATGAAACTGGTGATTGTCGCCAATAGGAGGCGAGCCATATGGTCGGAGACGTGATCTGGGGTAAGCTGGCAGCCGTCCAACCGAGCAACAAAGAAGCCAAAGTCGACGCCAACGTGACACGGCCCAGAAGCAGCCTAGGTAGCAGTGCAATTTCTGGCGTCTGAGCGAATATCCTGTTGGACAGGAAAAAGCACGTTTCGTGTCGCAATGGTAATAACTGCCTTGCCGTACCCTCCCGTACCACCCCGGCGCCCGCGCTAGTACACACTGTGCGTGCCCCCAAAGAACACGACCATTTGCGGACGAATCATAACCTCAACCTTCGACGACCGCGTCAAAGAGCACAGCGACAGCAGCATGTCTGGCGAACACTCCTTCATGGCCAGCGCCGTGCCCGCAGCAGCAGCGCCGCCGCCGCTCGCTGCGCAACCCAGCATTGGGACCCCGTAGGTTGCAGTCGCGCGCAGCACTCCAGCACATGCTCATACCAGCCAGGCCGTCGGCGTCGTCGCAGTCAGTTCCCCCTGGACACCCGTCTTTCCGGCGGCAACGCGCCAGCCGGGCGTGCGAAAGTGAGTGCGACCCATGTCTTGCCTGTATCTGCGCCCCTGATGGTACGAGGGAGGAGCCATTGCGGTCGGTGGGATATATGGTTCAGCTCGCGAGCCTCGGCACCTCGGTCGGCCTGGATAACGAATGCTAACCACCACGCATCGCAGCCTGTCACGCGAGGAAAGTGAGTAATCAGCCGCGGAACCGCTGTGCTGCCAGAACGCGACATAACCAGCAATAGGTACGATGCGACGCCGCCTCATTGGGGATCCCATGCACCAACTGCACCGCCTTCGGCATCGAGTGCCGCATCCCCCAGCCCAAGCGCAAGAAGACGCAGACGGCCCGGGCCAAGGATGCAGAGAGGTATGCGCACGCGACGCACGCAAAAGTATTATCGATGGATGGGATTGACGCGATAGCAGTGACCGCGGCGACAGCGACGACCGCTCGCCCGCCAGCACCTCCGCCGAGCCCCGCGAGAAGTCGACCGCATACAACACCCAGGATGGGACCCCCTCCACCACCGTCTCGCCCGAATACGCCGCCCAACAGGCTACCCACAATGGCACCTACGTGCAGTTCATGAAGCCCAAGTTTGCGCGCGCCCCCATCAAAGAAGCCGGCCGTGTCGCCTACCTCGGGGAGTCCTCCAACCTGTCGCTGCTTGTGCACGACCGATATGGCACCACCGATGTCGTCCACTACCCGCTGCCCGAGAACGTGCGGGGCGCGAAGGCGCGGGTCAATGAGATGGACAACATGGAGATTGAGATACTGCATCAGCGAGGCGCCTTCCTGCTCCCACCACGTGCATTGTGCGACGAGCTTGTCGAAGCCTTCTTTAGATGGGTGGCCCCGGTCGTGCCAGTCATCAATCGCAGCCGCTTCATGCGCCAGTATCGAGACCCCAAGAACCCGCCCTCGCTCCTGCTACTGCAGGCCATACTCCTGGCAGGCTCACGCGTGTGTACCAATGCGCAGTTGATGGACTCCAGTGGCTCAACCACCCCTGCCGCCATGACGTTCTATAAGCGCGCAAAGGCGCTATACGATGCCAACTTCGAAGACGATCGCGTGACCATTGTGCAAGCCCTCATCTTGATGGGCTGGTACTGGGAGGGACCCGAGGACGTGACCAAGAATGTTTTCTACTGGACCCGAGTCGCTATCGTAGTAGCTCAGGGTTCGGGCATGCACCGCAGCGTTGAAGGATCGCAGCTCACACGCTCCGACAAGCGCCTGTGGAAGCGTATCTGGTGGACACTGTACAGCCGGGACCGTTCAGTGGCAGTCGCACTCGGCCGGCCGGTTGCCATTGACCCTGAAGATTCCGACGTCGAGATGGTGTCTGAAGATGACTTCATCGACGACGAGACAGAGCACGCCGCGGAATACCCACCAGATCCGATCCATGTTCAGTTCTTCATCAACTATGTCAAACTTAGCGAGATTATGGGGTTGGTCCTATCACAGCAATACTCGGTAGCGTCGAAACACCGCAGGGCGAATGCCATAGACCTGACACACAGCGACATGGCCCTTGCCGACTGGCTGCAACACTGTCCACCGGAAGTGCAGTGGGAGCGAAATCGCCATCATTTCTGGGCTGCCTTGTTACATTCCAATTACTAGTACGTCTATGCATCTTCTGACTCTGACGTAGACTAACGCTCGCAGCACCACTTTATGTCTTCTGCATCGCGCACACATGCCACCAGCAGGCTCACCAAAAGCCACTCATCTTGACGGTTTTGGTGAAGCCAACGCCTACCCATCACGGAATATCGCGTACCAAGCAGCCGCCATGATCACATCCATTATCGAAAACCTCAGAGCTCATGATGAAATTCGGTATACTCCGGCTTTCATCGTCTACAGCTTGTTCTCCGCTCTCATCATGCACGTGTACCAGATGAAGTCGTCTAACAAGTCTGTCGTCTCAGCGACTGAGCAGCGACTACAGATCTGCTTGGACGCTCTTAAAGAGGTCTCCAAGGTGTGGCTTGTCGCAAAGATGGTGCATACTCTCTTCGAATCGATTCTTGGAAACAAGCACCTTGAAGAACGTCTGCAGAAAGCTGCCGGCCGCAACCACAAGAAAAACAAGGTCCCTTCGGTCCCACCACCACCGCCACCTAAGCCTGCCCAGGAATCCTCGAAACGAAAATTCGATGACATGGATCTAGGCTTCCCTGTTCCAAGTGGGCCGCCATCTGCCCAGGTCTCCTATGAGCGATCCAGACCGCAGACTCCTGCCGTCACACCTTCGCGCGAGCTGCAACCCCAACAGCAGATGCCCCAGATGACTACTGGATCTCCGCAGATGAATCGGCAAAATCACGACGCATTCATGGGCCCTTCACGGTCAGGAACGCGTCCTACAACCCCGTTCAACCCTTCATACTCGTATCCAGGAACGCCACCGGATCTTTTCCTGGTGACCCGTGATACCCCTAATATTAGCCAAGAAGTGTGGCAGAACTTCCAGCCCGACCAGCTGTTCCCTGCCGATACACAAGTCAACTTTCCCCAGATGTCACCCATGCAAAACCATAGCCTTGTAGATCCTGCCTTAAGTCAACCTCAAAACATTGGCATGCCCTCTCAACAGACTGCTGGGGGCCAGTCACAGATGCAGAACCCACCGTCAAATCCGGGTATCTCCGGCGCTTACGAGCATAATAATACTCAGGCCTGGCAGCAACAGATGGAGATGATGTCGCAGAACCAGCAACAGCATAGCGCACAGGACGATGCTTGGAGTCAAAGTTCCGGAGGTCGGCCCAACCCCATCGTGCCTATGAGCTTGAATGTCGATGACTGGTAAGTCGAAGTTGCGATTCTGTCCGAAAGCAGTCACTAACTCTCTGTCCCAGGTTCAACTTCTTCGGCATCAACGGTGAAGCCGACATGTCACATCTATTTCAGCAAGGCCCTGCTTAGACTCACAAGCGTTTGCTTCTGTGATTGTTCGATAGCTTTGTTGTTAAAGTTTTACTCCGCGTGTAAGCGTATCAGTAGCGTGGGTTCAGTTGTTGCATGGATGCATGTCTCTTCAAAAGGTTCGAGGTAGTAGCGTGTGGGTTCTGTACGTCCCGCGTACAAAGGAAGATGATTTGGCATACTACAGGACAACACTTTTCGGCATACTACTTCTCTGTGTCGTCTTCACGATAAGCTACCATCAATGCATAATACTCGCGTGCTTGGACGAATTTCACGATACACATTGGTGACTGAAGGCAATTATGGACAGATATTGACGGCCTTAGGATGTTCACGTCAAGATGTTCCAATCCGATGCCTTGTGAGGCCTTCGCTAGAATTCATCGATGTGCATACTGTTGGGATACGTTGCTGATTGTTGCCATAGAAGACATCTAATCCGGGTTCATGCTATCATTCTTTCTTACGTGCTTATCGCATCTGTATCGAAATTACGAGTCTGCACAGTCTTCAATGCTAAGCAGTCCGAAGCTCTCCATTCAACGGAAGATCCACCCGTGGGCCGGTTGGCTCCCCGCGTCATAAGCCTGTGCAGGCCCGATTAGGTTAGCACTATTTCGGTTTCGGGAACCTCGCAACTTCACGTACCTAAGTACGCGAGACTGATACAACAACACCGTGAGCTCGACGTACACTAGCCGCCCAAGGCCAGATCACGACTCTATTACCAGGTTCGTAAATGCTCTCTCTCCAAGCCCTCGAAGTGCACCCATTCCTTCTGTTGCCCGCATAAACCCCAAGGTCGAATCGGAATCGCACCACGCCGCACATCGCAATGGAGCCACCCACGACTACGACACCGAACGCGCCCGAATAACGGCCCTACAACGATTACGATCCCTTTACACAGCCGTATTCACTACGCGCCCTCCTCGACTGCTTCGCCGCAGCCTTGCCATTCGCTCGCCCAAGTGCCTACTCCAAAATCAAACAATACTAACTACCTCTCTCGTGTAGGCTAGGGCGCATCATTCCTACAAAATATACGCCCCAACATGTTCCAAGCGCAACAAAATCCGGGCCGCGGTGCCCCACTCGGTGCGAATAGGTTGCAGAATGGCAAGATGGGTGAGGACAACCCCAGAGCGAGTTTGGGCTATATCGCTGATTGCTGTCTCTGCAGGTGCTGCATCTCAATGGGGGTTCGGAGCTCCAATGGGTGCGCCAGGCCTATCGAATGCGCAAACACGAACAAACGGC